TCCTGCTGATGCAGAAAAGAACATATAAAGTTATTGATTTCTGTTGTATGACAAATACCAAAAGAAATAATTTTTAAAAAGTCTAATTTTAGTGAAGTACTTAGTACTTGATGTTTGAATAATACATAGTAATAAAAACACTTTAAAGTTTAATACCAATAAAACAAATATATTATTATCGTGATATATGCTAACATGCATTAATGAAGAAAAAGGCACAAAACTTTTATTTTCTTCTATTACCTAAACCAACCTTAATTATCTTAGTTAAACTGTATACCTCAAAAATCTGTAAGAGAAAAATGTTAGTCCTGGCTGAATGATTCAATTGACTGGAGTGTCATCCCATGCACCAAAAGGTAGTCGTGCCATATACTTAGGTTGTGGGTTTGATACCCAGTTGGGGCATGTAAGGGAGGCAACTGATTGATGTTTCTTTCTCACATCAATGTTTCCCTCTCTTTCTTTCGCTCTCTGAAATCAGTAAAACATATCCTCGGGTGAGGATTAAAAAAAAAAAGAAACAGAAAAATGTTAATAATTTGCTAAAGAGTAGGATCCTAAGAGTTTTTAAAAATTCATATTGTGCATATACAGTTCCTTGGGACATAAACATTTTAAAATGTGTTCATTTTAAGTAGAACACCATATTTCTTGGGTTTATATGCAAATATAAAAATTACAGAAGTAGGGAATTTTTAGGAAAAAATATCTACACTTTACCACAATAAAATACACACAGGCGAATACAGAAGCCAGAGGAATAATCAACTTGTTTCCTAAGTTTTAATTTCATTTATATCCTTCCAGATCCCAAGTACTACTTTATTCCTTCATTGGTTCAACAAATATTTGCTGACCACTACCCTCAACCAGAAACAGGATACAACAGGGTTCTAGCAAAGTTCCAGTCCCCTAAATGTTCAAAGTCTAGAAAGAGAACCTGGAAGTTACACACAGGAGAAGGGCAAGATTCTAGACATCATGGGGAGAGATTTTAAAGTCTTAAACAGGAAATGACATAAGCTATAGAATAGGCTTGTGGGGGAGAGGTAAAGCATGTTACTGTGACTGAGAGCATAGCTTTTGTAATCCATATTAAATGTGGGCAGATGCTGATCATGCCAGCAGAGGGACTGAACTGGAGAAGACAGAAGTTTGTAATGTGGGCAACTGAGTAAGGAAAGTAGTTGCACAATTAATGTGCAAAGTGCTCAATAAATACTAACTTTTTTCTTCCTTCTCAAAAAACTTACCTTTCTGCACGAATCACACCACTGTAGTAGGGGGGATCCCAAGGCATTAATCCCTACAATGAAAAAGTTCACTGTTATGAAAGCTATCGACTATTTCACAACTTTTATCAATAATTTAGCTAGTTTATAAGATGTAAACCAGTTATTATATCAGAAAAGCTCTATAAAACCCTAAAAATTCATGACTTGGCAGGAAATACCTGCCTCTTTATTTTAACTTCTCTATAATCAATGAGTGAGAGTTATAAGTAAGGCATAGTCCCAGAATTTGGGGAAAAGGTTAAACAAGTATCATTTTAAAATATAAACTAATAAAAGTCAACATTAATAGATGAAATCAGCCATGTTGAAATTTCTCCCAAAATATAATCCATAAAATATAATGGAGGTAAGATTAGTGTATTAAAGGTAAGATTACGTTCTTTCTAAACCTAAGCAAGAAGCTTAGGGTGGATCCCCAAAATGAAAGCAACAATTTAAAATGTAACTAAAGCAGAATTAACTCTAATCTTAGCAAAGAAAATATGTCATGGAGAAATGCTATAATAACACTGTTTTTGACAACTGGTACAGAACAATGAAAAAAAGAAGCGTGGATACCTGAAGGATCATCCTCCCCACAAACTATGCAGGTGACAAAGAGTGTTTCAGAGGCAAGGCGGCAAAGTCAGACTACTTGGGTTCACGTCTTTGATCCACACTAGTTTTAAGACTTGGAAAACTTATTTCTGCTCACTGATGCTTTCTTGTTCTCCTCCTATGTGACCTGATCTCTTCCAGGCTATTCCCTTAACCTACCTCCTCCGACTGTCCCCCTCCCTCATTCTACTCTGGCTGCAATGGCCTCCCCATGGCTCCCTGATCACACAGGGCAGCCTCCTGCCTCAGGCCCCTGCACCTGCTACCTCTCTCTTAGAATGGTCTTCTCTATGCTGTCTCCATGGCATACTCCTCACTTCTTCCAAGTTTTTGCTCAAGTCCACTTACTGACCAATACGTATAAAATAGCAACCTCCGTCCCCTTTTCTCTGCATTATTTTCCCTATAGCCTTTATTCACTTTATATTTTTATTAAAAAATTTTAATGTTGACACTATAGATGTCTCCCCTTCCTCTCTCTTTACCCACCTCCAACTATACCCCCCTCCCTCTCCCTTGGCCTTCACCACACTATTGTCCATGTCCATGGGGCATGGATATATATTCTTTAGCTAATACCTTCACCTTCTTTATTCAGTGCCCCCCACCACCTTTTCCTCTGGCACCCGCCAATCTGTTCCATGTATCCATGGGGCCAGTTCCATTTTGTTCATAGGTTTATTTTTTTCATTAGATTTTACATATTAGTGCAATCATATGGTATTTGTCTTTCTATGAATGGCTTATTTCCTCTAGCATAATACCAGTACTCTCCAGATCCTTCGATGCTGTCACAAAGGGTAAGAGTTCCTTCTTTTTTACAGTGTATAGTATACTATTGTGTAAATGTACCACAACTTTTTTATCCACTCATCTGCTGATGGACACTTGGGCAGTTTCCAGATCTTCGCTATTATAAACACAGAAATGCATGTATTCTTTCTGATTGCTGTTTCAAGATTCTTGGGATATTTTCCCAGAAGTGGACTGCTGGGTCAAAAGGCTGTTACATTTAATTTTTTGAGGAAACTCCATACTGTTTTCCACAGTGGCTGCACCAATCTGCATTCCCACTAATAGTGCACTAGGATTTCCTTTTCTTCAAATCCTTGCCAGCACTTGCTGTTAGTTGATTTATTGATGGTAACCATTATGGCAGGTGTAAGGTGATAACTCATTTTAGTTTTTTGGTTTTTTTTTTAAATCCTCACCCAAGGATATTTTTTTCATTGGTCTTGAGAGAAAGAGTGGAAGGGAGGGAGGGAGAAAGGGAGGAAGAGAGAGAAAGAGGACTTCAACTGGCTGCCTGCCACATGTACCCTGATCAGGAAAGGGATCGAGCCTGCAACCGAGGTACATGCTCTTGACAGGGAATTGAACCCATGACCCTTCCATCCATGTGCCAACACTCTAACCACTGAGCAACTGGCCAGTGCTCATTGTAGTTTTAATATGCATCTCTCTTACGATTAGTGACCTTGAGCATTTTTTTCATATCTATTGGCCATCTGTATGTCCTCTTTGGAGAAGTATCTATTCAGGTCCTGTGGCCATTTTTTTTTTATTAGATTATTCTCCCGTTGTTGAATTGGATAAATTCTTTATATATTTTGGAAATTAACTCCTTATCAGATGTATCACTGGCAAATATGTTCTCCCACACAGTGGGCTCTCTTTTCATTTTGTTTTGTTTTTCTGTGCAGAAGCTTTTTAGCTTGATGTAGTCCCGTTTGCTTATCTTTTCCTAAGTTTCCCTAGCCCCCAGAAACATATCAGCAAAAAGAGTGCTGTGAGAGATGTCTTGAGATTCTACTGCTAATGTTTTCTTGGGTTTTTATTATTTTGTGTCTTACATTTAAATCTTTTATCCATATTAAGTTTATTCTTGTGTATGATGTAAGTTGGTGGTCTAGTTTCATTTTTTTCATGTATCTGTCCAATTTTTCCAACACCATTTATTGAAGGGACTGTCTTGACTCCATTGTATGCTCTTGCCTCCTCTGTCAAATAGGAATTGAGCACAATGGCTTGAATTGGTTTCTGAGGTCTTTGTTCTGTTCCATTGGTTTATATGCCAGTTCTTATGTTAGTACGAGGATATTCTGATTACAATGGCCTTGTAGTAGTTTGATATCTGATACTGTGAAACATCCAACCTTGTTCTTTTCCCCAAGATTGTTGTGGCTATTCGGGATCTTTTTTTAAAAAAAAAATTTGTTTCATTGCTTAAAATATTACAAAGAGTATTACAGATGTCTCCTTTATTTTTCCCCCTTGACCTTCCCCCGGCCTCCCCTAACCCCCAGTGTCTTGTGTCCATTGGTTATGCTTATATACATGCATACAAGTCCTTTGATCTCTTACCCTCTCCCAACCCTCCCCGGTCTTCCTGCTGTAGTTTGACATTCTGTTAGATGCTGCTCTGCCTCTGTATCTATTTCTGTTCATCAGTTTATAATGGTCTTTATTATCCATAAATGAGTGAGATCATATGGTATTTTTCTTTCATTGACTGGCCTATTTTACTTAGCATAATGCTCTCCAGGTCCATCCATGCTGTTGCAAATGGTAAGAATGCCTTCTTTTTTACAGCAGCATAGTATTCCATCGTGTAGATGTATCTCAGTTTTCTAATCCATTCATCTACTGATGGGCACTTAGGCTGTTTCCAGATCCTAGCTATGGTGAATTGTGCTGCTATGAACATAGGGGTGCATATATCCTTTCTGATTGGTGTTTCTGGTTTCTTGGGATATATTCCTTTTGTTAAGTTGTATGAGTTCCCTATAAATGGTGGAGATTAAACCCTTATCGGTGATAACATTGGCAAATATGTTCTCCCATGCAGTGGGCTTTCTTGTTGTTTTGTGATGGTTTCTTTTGCTATGAAGAAGCTTTTTATTTTGATGTAGTCCATTTGTTTATTTTCTCTTTAGTTTCCAATGCCCTGGGAGGTGTTCTGGAATTTTTTGTTCTAGGTCTTTGAAATATAACATTGGTATTTTAATAGGAATTGCATCGACTCTATAGATTGCTTTGGGTAGTATAGCCGGTTTAATAATGTTAATTCTTCTAATCTATGAACATGGTATATGTTTCCACTTATTTGTATCTGCCTTAATTTCTTTCTTCAATGTCATATCTATAGTCTTTATATCCCCATATGGCACAGCACATGTTTATTTTTTCATGTGTTGTGCTTTCTTCCCCTAAGCTTCATGACGGCAAGGAACTTGTTTACATTTTCCCCTATTACATCCTGGTGGCACCCTGAACACCGCCTGATACTCAGTATTCACCCAATAGCTATTTGGTGACTGAGTGAACAGCACCTCCCAAACAGGATTGCTTAATGCACTTAAACTATTAAACAGAACACCTGGCATTGAGTAAGAGCTCTGTAAATGTTAGCTTCTATCCTTATTACCATTATCCTTCAAATTTCACTTTAGATATCATCTCCTTGAACAATAAGGTACTCTTTCTTATATTCCATGATCATATGTCTATCATGGACGTACTCCAACATAAGATACTTGTAGGTTTATTTTATTTTTCTAGTCCCTGAGTGTTAAGTTCCTGGCACATATTTCCTCCAACAGATGATCATTTACTATCTGCTGGTATCGAGTGCAGGCTCTAATGATACAAAAAAAAAAAAAAAAAAAGGACATGACTCGTGCCAAGGGGCCAATGATGTTGCAGGCAGTAGAAAGATAAGTGGGTCAACAATCTGAGAGCATTGAAACCAATGGTATATCCTGTCTGTGATGTTGAACCATTGACACAGAACCTAGGAGAAAGGTATTTAAATCGCAATGGAATCCGGAAATATTTGGAGGTGAGTTGAGTTTTGAAGAATAGAATCAGTTAATCCAGATGAGAAAGGGGGAAAGGCATCCTGGTATATGATATTTGTGAATTATTGGAAGCTAACTACCATAGTTGCTGGCACATAAATGTCAGTTAGAATTAAAGAACAAGGGAAAGCAAAGCTAAAGTAAGTGAAGAGAGTGCAAAAGCACCATATAGGTATTAGTAGAGAGCAAAGGGCACTAACTTGGCTGATAAGTACAGCAGAAAATAAGGCTAGAGAAGCAGGTAGGGTCAAAATCACCAAAGGCTTGATGGGGAAAAGCTAAGAAACAGGAAGAATTACATGGAGTGACAGAAAAAATGTTAAACAAGGGAGTGACAAGATCAGATTTGCATGGAGCAACAGAAAAATGTTAAACAAGAGAGTGACAAGATCAGATTTGCTTTTTAGAAAAATTCCTCTTATGATGATTAATTAATTCATTAGTTTCTATTTCAGGTAGGTGCTGAGTACATACTCAGTGTCTAAAACTGAGTTAGGTACATTGCTAGGCACTCACAATCCAGGATGGTTTTGAAGGGGGCCTGACAAAAGGCTAGAAAACCAGTTTGGCAACAATATGGGTGAGTAGTAGTAATAATGACCTCAACCAGGACTATGGCAATGAGCCTGAAGAGTAGGGAACACGGAGTTCTCAAGAAGGTAGAATCTATAGGACTTGATAACTGATTATAAAGGGTTGGGGAAAGTCACGTGGAGGGATTGTTGAAACACAAAACTATGGGACTTAAGACTCAGTGAGCCTCAGATGGGGCTGGAAAATTTGTACTTCTAGTAAGTTCCCAGGTGATGCTACTGCTTCTGGCCCAAAGAACACACTTTGAGAACAACTGGTATAAAGTAAGTCCAGGTTCCGTCTTGGGGAAGAGAGTGAATAGCGGAACCATTCACCAAAACACATTCTTTGTGAGAAGATGGGCATTTAATAAATAAATGCCTGCCAAATAACCTTCATCAATGACTATATAAACATCAGATTGTTGACTCACTTATCAGAGCCTGCCAGTGTGGTTCAGTGGTTGAGCATCAACCTATGAACCAGGAGGTCAGGGTTCGATACCCAGTCAGGGCACATGCCTGGGTTGTGGGCTCCATCTCCAGTAGGGAATGTGCAGGAGGCAGCTGATCAATGATTCTATCTCATCATTTATGTTTCTTTCTCTCTCTCTCCCTCTCTGAAATCAATAAAAACACATTAAAAAAAAAATGTCTAGGGAGAATAGTTTCAAGTCATATTAGCTTTTCGCAACACATTTTATTTTTTAGTTTCTATATTCTGACCCATTACCTGGTTTCTTAAGTGGATTTGCCTACCTAAGCAACGTGTACAGATGGCTATTATTTTGCTAGATACAATTCTTACCATAAATTAAGAAATTGATATGCTACTCTAGAAATAGGTGAATTTAATAGCATTAATCTCTTTCTGAGTGGTTGCATCTGGGAAGCTGATACGACAACACTGACAGAACAATGCCTTAGACAACCCCAGCAATCCTGTAGCGCCCTCAAAACATACGAAAAGCAGGATCCTAATACCTGGAATTCTATCACTCTCAGAGCACCCCAATCACTTGACCAGCATTCTCACCATAAGGACATGTACGTTTGTATTATAACATCATGTGATCCTTTGATCTTGGGATTGAAAAAAGAAAACAAGTATTTTTAGAATGGGTATACTTTGTCATTCATATTGATTTGAGTTCCACAAATTAGCAAACAAGTAAACTGCAACATTATCACTGATGGTTAAAATTGGCACCTGCCAGATCAAGCATACACCTAGGCTCCTTTAAGGCTGCTTCAAACAAAGAAGCCAACTTTCTACAGAACGGAGGAAGCCATTGCATGAGTGTATATTAATATACATGTGTTAATATACATATATGTGCGTGTGCGTGTGTGTGTGTGTGTGTGTCTGTGTGTGTGCACATATATATTATGTCAACTAACCAACAAAGATATACTGGGTTTTCCTGGAAACGTCAGTGTCAGACATATGAATCAAATATTTCAATGCCTTTATTCACCAAAACCAAGGATCAGAAATAAAACAACATATACCTTTCGCATATCACAATAAAGTTCTAGATTCAAAGATAATGACTTCAGCGGATAGACAGTTTATGTTATAATAAAAATGTTCCAGCAGTTACTTACAGAATTTTGAGGATTTAGTTTCATTTTCATTCCTCGTATAATCTCAAAATCTTTTAGAGTTCTGTAAAACAGGTTTGTCATTAATTGTTAGGACAAAATTTTAGTAAGTATGTGACAAAAAACTAGTTTGCTTATGTTAGATTCCAATATTCATGATTTAATTGGAAGTAATTTGTGGTGCAAATATAAAGAAACGAGTATTACATGTGTTAAAAGAGAAAGCAATATATATCCATCAATAAATGATGGCAATTGGCAATTTCTATCTTAAAAAAGCATCCTGACATATACATGTCTTTTTTTAAATATATATATATTTTTATTGGTTTCAGAGAGGAAGAGAGAGGGAGAAAGACAGAAATATAAATGACTGGAGACTGATCTGCTGCCACCTGCACACCCCCTACCGGGGATGGAGTCCACAACCTAGGCATGTGCCCTCATCAGGAATCAAGACCTGACCTCCAGGTCAATGCTCAACACTGAGCCACACCAGTCGAGCCCAACAGATACATGTCTTAAAAGTACTAAAGCATGGAAAAATTAGCAATGTAATAGAAACATAAAAAATATTAATTGTAAATTTTAAATCTCTACTTTTTTGTTATACCTTAAAAAGGTAAGAACATATTACTTTCTGTAAAAGAATATTAGCATAAGATTATATTTAAGATTACTACTTAAAATTTTTCCTCCATAGAAAAACACTGGCTGAACAAAATATCAAATGCATGCTTAATGTGTGTGGAATATGAAGTTTCTATTAGAATTAATTCCTATATATAATTAAAAATCTGAGGATGTTTGCTTAAAATATAATCTACTAGGTGTACCAGTTAATAATGCAGGTTTTGTTATCAAAGAAAACCCATAATTTCAAGAGAAACATCAAAAGTGCTTTATTCAAAGTAATGTCCATCGCTAGCTACACATTTCCCCCATTTTTCAGGAAATTTGTGGATACCGTCCCAATAGAACTTTCCTCGTTTTGAGGCAAACCATTCAGAGACACAGCTTTCCACTTCTTTGTACGTTTAGAAGTGCTGCTCAGAAAGTGCGTATGCCATCAATCGAAACAAGTAGTAATCTGAAGGAGAAAGGTCTGGTGAATACAGTGGGTGGGTTAATACTTCCCAGGCAAGATCTTTTAATGTGTCTTTAACTGGTTTTGAAGTGTGTGATGGTGCATCATCATGAAGCAAATTTACTTTGCCTTGTCTTCTGGAACATTCTGGTTGTTTCACGATCAAAGCGTGATTCAAATTGATTATTTGTGGTTGGCAGCGGATCAGTATTAACTGTTTCACCTGGTTTTAGAAGCTCATAATACACCACACCTTCCTGATTCCACCAAACACAGAGCATTGTCTTCATTCCGAAGAGATTTGGCCTTGCAGTCGATGTTGATGGTTGACCTGGATCAACCCATGATTTTGTGCATTTGGGATTCTCAAAATAAATCCACTTTTCATTG